AAAAAAAAAAAAAAAAAATCCCAAAAATTGAAACAATATATTTGCATAATTTAAGGTCATTAAGAAATCGATCTCCAAATCAGTTTTGATTTTGAGAATATGTTTTTTATTCAAAAATTCCATACAAAGTGGAATTCTTTTCAACCAATAAATGTCATAACAAATATTAACTCTTAATTAATATTAGTACATACCGAGCAAATTGTGTACTGATTTTAAAAAATTCAAAGTATTTATGTTAGGTAATTTTACATTTTATGTATGTTGTTGTATGTGGGGTTTTAAATATTTTTTTATAGAATGTAAAAGTGTAGTATTTTATTTTTATGAGATGTTGAATTTGAAAATTAATAGAATTCTTTCTCGTAGGAATTTTAAATGTAACAATATTCTTTGGTATACACTGCTAATAAATTCTATATTTAAAGTTTATATTTTTTGTTTTTTACCGAAAAAAATTCCTTAATTGAAGGAATCATATATCTTCAATCAATCCACATCTAATACATTCTTCACAATTTTAAATTTTGAATTTGATGAGAATTCGTACCTATTAGTGCAAAATATAGTTTAATAATTTAATTTTGTATTGTTATTTTAGCAATACTTCTTTATACGATTTTTTTGTAAAAATACAAAAGTAAATTTTTAATTTTAAATCACCCGTACATTAAAGTGTACAGATTTTTTGAAATTGCAAAAGTAGTTTTTAGTATTAAATCAAACGTAAATTTAAATCTGCCATAAACATAAGTAATATTTGTTTTACCATTTAAATACAAAATCAACCGTGATTAATGTTGTTGGTTTTATTTGCCATGATTTTCTCCAAATTAACAACTACCGTGATATAAGGACATTATTTAATAAAGCTAGATTTTCTGCCAAAAAACAAATAAAAGTTACTAAAAGTGGTAAGTAATTAATGCAGATAGAATTTTGACTATAGTTTAACCTACTATTTTTTATAAAAGGTTATTCTTTTTATATATTGATAGATATATAGATAAACATTAAACGGATAAATTTTACAACACCATTTTGGTAATTTCATTAGGTAATAATTAATAAGCATGTTCATAGCTGAAACATTTTGTATTATGGATTTGTTTCCGACAAAAAAGTGTTTCAATATTTCATTTATTCCAAAATAAACTTTGTACGACATAATAAACAATACATAATCCGTTTTGACAGCCTAACAATTTAGCAGATTGATCCATCATAATTTTTTCGAATATAAATACATACTTTTTTATTTATTGTGAAAGTACGTCAATTTGCTGAAAATGTAGGCCCTCCTAATGTTTGGTCTGTTCATCAACAATCTTAGGCACATGTCTAAGTAATAGAATTGACTATTGAACCTCGTGAGAAGTTGTGTTAGCTCTTTACCTTGTTACATTTTCTTTGGTGCACTGTTTACTTTTTTTGGGAAAACTGGGTAAAATGCTGTAGATAAAGATGTGTTTATAGCTTATGTACTGTAATCAAATGCAACACGCTCCCCATTCAAAGTAGTATGAGAAAAAATCTTTAGTTCTAAAGGTCAAATTGGAAATACAGTTTATAACAAGACAACAACCATTTGGACACCAAAATGTATGTCACATGTCACATAAGAAGCAACACAATCTTTTAGTCCAGTACAAATGAAATGACAACATATGTACCTAATATTTGATCAAGCCTAAGCTCTTCATCCAGGGAAGCATCTCTGAAAGACCTTCTCTCAGACTTCTAGGGTTGTAATCCAGCTCCAACTTTGCCTTCTCGCAAGAGTACGCCCACTGATGTCTGAGAACGTCAACCGTCTGTTTTGCAGAGGACCAACATAAAAAAGAGTATTAGTAAAGAACTAAATAAACAAATTTCAGCTCTCAGACCAGCCTCTATACGTCGTGTTCAGCTGATGTATGTGTGTTGTTAGATTATCTAGTGGAAACCCATAGATAAACGCATAAACTTAGTACTTAAAGCAACAACAAATAGACAGCCTTCACAAATATCATAGATGCCTGATCATTGCTATACTTAATACAATTCTTTTTAAAAAGATACAAACCTCAAGGAAGTGCTTATAATATTTCTGATTTTTTTTTATTTTTTTTAATTAGGACATACTTGAGGGGTAATTTTCCTAGTAAAGAATATCGTAGATGCCTGATCATTGCTATAATTACAGCATGCCCCCCACAGTTCACACCAATTTCAAACTACATCTGGTGGCCTAAAATGTTTCACAATGTTGCATCGAATCATATAATCAAAAAGCCAAGACATTGATAGAACAGTAATATGCATTTCTCACACAGATCACCAGGTAAAAAAGAAAAGACAGAAAAAAGAAATGAAAGTTCCGCACCGGGGAACTGATTAGGGGAAGCTTCCCTGTTATTCTTGAGACAAGAACACACAACCATCCATACACTTCAATGAGGAAAAGCGGAATGCGAACATGAGGCTTTGCTGTTTGAGTGATAATTGCAGCTATATCGAAAACATCTTTGAAAGATGCATTTTCTCCTGTCAGAAGATATCTTTCACCCGGCCGGCCTTTGTTCATAGCTGCAAGGTGGCCCTGCACCACATCATCCACATGGCAGAAAGAAAAGCCGTTTTCTTGGCCCATGTAACCTGGGAGCCGTCCATTAAAGCGTTCCACAAGCTGATACAGAATATAAAAGCATTCAAGTTGAGAAGTCAGTTACCTTTGATTTGTGAACGCATGTTAAGAATTTGAGGGAAAGAAAAAAGGAAGAAGAAAGAAAAGAACTTGATATTCAGTCTAATTACCAAAAAGGTTAATATCTTTTAGGACTACAAGACCTTGAGTAGGGGGATATTATGACAAGAAAACACAAATCGAAAAACAAGTTTCTAATGAATGTAAATGTCAGCAGTAATAGTTCTTATTTAACCCAAAGTATCTGGTGTCCTTTTGCATTTTCACGCCCGAATAAGGATGTATACTTAAGTAAACATGGTATAAAAGAAAATGAACTAGCAGAGGCACATAAGATGTTCATACCAGAGAAACTTTTGGGAAACAAAATTACCAAATCACAAAGAAAATCTGCACTATGATGAAGCTTGCTCAATCTGATGAGGAAAAAAAAAAGTAACTACTATACTTCAGTTTATTGTAATCAAGCTGATTTCAATATCAATCAATGAATCTCTATGCTCGATCAAATATCTCCTCTTCAACAAGAAGAATAAACATTTCAAAAAAAAAA